GCTGAAATTGCCAGTTCGGACCCTGATGCGTCATTAACTAGCATTGAACTCAAACAAGAGGAAGAAAATGAGCTTCGGACGACGCGAGATGACTTACCCCGTGGACAAGACACACGAGATCAGCAGGATCACCCATCTCAGGGTGCAGCTCACACCATAATTATCAGTCAAACTGATAATGTGAACGACCATAATCGGGAAAAAATCGCACTGACGAATGTTTTGATGTCGAGGAATCGATTGAGCTACAAGCTGATCAATCTGATACGCAAACCGAGGCAGAAAAAATATTTTTGCGGTGAATGTTGCAGCTGGAAAAACTCACTACCCAGTGGGCGAGTTAAAACGTTGGGAGGATCCGATTAATGAATACACCACGAAAGTGTTAATGCAGAAGTGTTTTCCTACACTTTTTCCTAACGGAGAAGGGGGAATGCATCCTTTGTTCGATGTAGAAAATCGAACGCACGGATACAAACTAGCCGGATACTGCGCTCACATCATGAAATGGTACGATCGACGGTTTGTAATACATTGCAACTTTAAGTTTTTCTGCTTGAACCTCATTCAACGTAGACAAATAGACGGCTTGGTTCGTAGGGTTGGTGCCTGCCCAAATAATGAAAAGCCCAGAAGTGTATCCGTCGAGGGGTGCTCAGAAAATATGAGAGAGGATATCGGTGCTGCGATGGAATTACTAGAGAGTTTGAAGCCTTATTTTTGAGGTGTTCGTGGGAGCGGACTATACCAAATTATACTTGACTTTTAGTTAACAGATGGTCAGAGATGATCTAATGAGCATGTTAGGGAGCCGTGTTTTGCCTTCACGATGGCCTACGTATTTCCTAACTCTTAGTGCAGCTGACACAATCTGGCCAGCCTTCTTTCGAGCCTGTGATCCAACACTAACGCTTGAAGCGGCTCGATCGTTAAGCAGTCAGCAGAGACGGAGATATCTGACTGAAAATCCTGATTTTGCTGCACGTCATTTTGATAGGCGATTCAGAGCATTTTGAAATCATTGACTACTTCTTGCGGGTTGAGTTCCAACGGAGACGATCCCCTCACATACACGCCTTATTGTGGGTTCGAGATGCCCCGGACGTAGTGACACTATCAGAAACAGAGTTTGGACGCACAAAGTTAGCCACGTACGTTGACAAGGTAATTTCAGTGCTGGCGAAGAGTAAGGAAGAGCTAGTAATTTGTAATTCTGCAACGTGCGTTAGAGAACGAGAAGGGAATTTAGAAATCCTTTCCGCTAAACCCCCTTCGCCTGGAAAACAAGATTGGGAGTGTGATGTAACCCGCAACGTTCATCGAGTGCAACAGCACGTTTGTTCTTCTCAGTCATCGTGTCGAAAGTCAGGAAACGACTGTAGATTTGGTTATCCAAAGGACTTGAAAAAAAA